TGAAATTGCTTCTCGCCGATGTCCTGTGTGTCGATGTTGTTTTGGTGACCTCGAAATCTCGTCTTCATCACCTTTCTTCGTTGGAGCGCTGCCTTTGTTTGGCGTTTCCGTTTTGTCTTTCAAAACTGAAAACTTTCGGGAGCTTATTCATTGCCATACGACATCGCCGAATGGTTTGGACAGGACATTGTTTCCCTCTCGGGGACTCCTCTGCTGGTTTATTCGACCTAGCCGACGTAGAAATCTCTTTTGACAGTCGGAGTAACCGGTATCGTGTGCGGCACGCTCGCAGGTGATAACCCTATCCGATTAGATGATAAGTTTCCATCTGAGGGACTGCCTTCTTCGGGCTTTCACAGTTTACCCCTCAAAACAAGGCTTCTGGCGTGAATCGCGTGCCTTTGGACCAATGCGAAATTGGGGGTTTGCAGCGCCTGGGTCTTTTGTATGCTGGAGGTGATGACCCCCAGTATGTTTTGAGTCGTTCTGGTTCTGTCATCGGGCCCAATACGCTCTAATGGACTTGCTCTCGTCAGAATTGGACCTTTTGGAGCGCTCCAAATTGTTTCTTCTTGCGGATGACTCTCATGGTCTCCGAGAGTTTTATGCGGGACTTGGTGGACTGCGGAGTTGACCTCTTAGGACCTCACTGTTGAGTTTTTGGACTGGAGTCGCGACACCCAGACTAGCTTCCAGATTTGTCGTTGGTGGTGGTTATTCTCCCGCGCAACAACACCCATGTCCCCACCCCCTCCCTTTGCAGCTCTACGGCTTCTGGCTTGAGCCCGTGCCTCGCGCATCTCGCGGGCTTGTGAATGCGTCCTCGACATCGAACCGCTTGCGTCTGACGCGGACCAGTCTTTTCTTTGGCGCCTTTTGGAAGAGCGCTTATTTGGTTGGTTGAGGCTGTTTGCCTCTCTGTTCTCACTCCGCAGTGTAGCATGCGTCGTGACTCCACGCCTAGCGAATTTGCCGCGCGAGGTGTTTTGACGACGCTCTTGCGGCTCTTTTGAGAGATCACACGCCTAACAGTAGAGGCGTTGAGCGGAGTCGGGTGATCGTTGGAGTCGTGGAACTTCATTTGCGCAATTCGCGTCAGTTGGGTTGAGGCTTCGTGGTTCACGAGCGCTGTCAACACCACAGCTTTTCGCCGGGGGGGGAATTCTTGGGACTGCGTTGGGGGGAGATAGAGCCGACGAGGCACGTATCTCGACTGGCTTTTGTCGAATCTGTACTCGCCTCCTCCCACGACGCGGATGCCACATCGCGCTTCCGGACTCGATCTGTGGCCGAGATCGTCGGCTCCCGCTGTGTCGCCGATTGTTCTCGGTGGAAAAAACTGTGTCTTTTTCTTGAACATGGATTGTCATCTTGGGTTCAAGATCCGGTCTTTTTATGATCGCCTTAAAAACAAAACTAAAATCAAAGAAACAAATAATTACAAAGCTTTCCTCTTGAACATCGCAAGCTCCTGTTGCGTGCTTGCTGTGTGGTTTTATGCGCGTCGGTTAATCGTGGACCACGCCGTTAGTCCCGGTCGGATCTACACGGTATCGGGTATTTTCCCGCGAAGAATAATAGCGGAGTTAATCCCAAGGAATATCGCCATGATCGGATCTAAGACCAAGCTAGATCTGGTGTTGTTCAGTCTCGTGTAGATTCGATCTGTTCTTTCTCTCTGGCATCCGCCTTTCTGAGTGAGGTCGCGAGGATCAGATGCTGATGGCAAGTCTTTGCTGGTCTTCAAGCTCGTTACTCTTCACCGCAGAGTTTCGGCTCTGAAGTTCCACCTTGAAAAATGAACATCTCTAGGCCCCTATTTATAGGCTCTCAGGACAGTGCGCCAAAAAGGCAATTGTCGGCCCAACCTTCTGCACTGTCGACCCTCGGGCACTGCTCGGGCCACCTCGGGTTGCACACGTGCCTAGCCTCGGTGGCTGCTTGGTATTGTCCTTAGGCCACCCCCGAAAGGTGCCGCAGGCACCACACCCCGAGGGCTCGCATTTTGCCGAGCCACCTTGGGTGCTCTGCCTTGGCGAGGCCACCTTGGCGTGCTCCGCCGTGCCCGAGCACCCGGGTGGCTGGCTTTGGAGAGCCCCCGCGGGCGGGTTTGCGACTTTTTGAGTCGTTTTCCGTTGTCTGTCTGTCACTGTTCGGGTTGACCTGAGCTATATTTGATGATCTATTGCGGTAAATTTTCCTTATGTGGCGTAATCCGCTTCTGAGTTCGATCGAATTTGTCTTGATGTGCGTATTCGCCGAGTCGCTCCAGTTGGGACTCGTGATCCTCAACGCATAGCTGATCGTGCTACCGGGGGATTCTCCGCTCGCTGGTGCGATTGTCATTCCGTCGACCCTCGCGCCTCGTTGGCTTGTCGGTTTGTGCCGAGCTATGCTAGGGGACCTATAAGCAATTTTATATGCCTACAAACATCTATATGTTTAGTTCTAGAATAAAGTACGAAATTTTTTGAAATATTTATAGCACTAGTATTATCACAAAAAAATTTGTATCATGAAAATGTAAGTCAAAATCAATCAAATTTTGTTTCATCCATAATAATTGAGCATAATATAAGCCGAAGACAATATATTCCACTTCCGTAGTGGATAAGGCAACACAATTTTGCTTCTTGGATGACCAAGAAACTAGGAAGTTACCTAAGAATTGACAAGTACCACTAGTACTCTTGCAGTCAACCTTGCATCCTGCAAAGTCGGCATCACAAAAACCAAAAAAATCAAAAGAAATATGCTTTGGATAAAACAAACCAAGATAAATTGTACCTTTTATATACTTAATAATATGTTTAAATGAGATTTTTTAGGAGAAGCTTGAAACCATGCACATACACAAACACTAAACATTATGTCGGGTCTACTAGCAGTGAGATAAATAAAATAAACTACCTATTATACATCCATACATCTTTTGGTCTACTTTCTCAACACTTTCATTCATATCCAACTTGATGGAGGTACTCATTGGAGTTTGTGCGTGCTTGGAGTTTCCCATCCTAAATTTCTTCACAAACTCTCTTGCATACTTGCTTTGTGAGACGAAAATTCCATCATTACCTTGTTTGACTTGGGAGTCCAAGGAAGAACATGAGCTCTCCCATCATGCTCATTTCAAATTACTCTTGCATAACTTTTGAGAATTTCTTGCACAAAGATTCATTAGTAGCCCTAAAAATAATATCATCGACATAGACTTGAACTAAGATAAAATCATTTTTCCTTTTTCTAACAAACAAAGTATTATCAATTCTCCCTTTTGAAAAACAAATTTTGACAAGAAAACTAGAAAGGCGAGCAGAGCTTGTTTTAAACCATATAAAGATTTTTGAACCCGATAAACATGATTTGAAAGAAAAGGATCAATAAAACCGGGGGATGCTCAACATAAACCTCTTCATCTATAAAACCATTTAAAATAGCGTTTTTAACATCTATTTGAAATAATTTGAAATTTTTAAAACTAGCAAATGCCAAAAACATACAAATTGACTCCATCCTTGTAACTAGTGCAAAAGTTTCGTCATAATCAATGCCCTCCTCTTGATTGTGTCCTTGGGTGACCAACTAGCTTTATTCATAGTTACTATACCAAATTCATCAAGGCTGCGTTTGGGAACTTGGATTTGGATTTGAGAAGTTGATTTAAAATCATGGGATTTCAAATCTAGAATTTGAAATCCATGATTTGATAAAATCTTTTGTTTGGATGTCATCACTAAATGCAAGGATTTGAAATCACAGATTTAAAATCTGATGTTTGGATGCACTTTATTATACATGAATTTGGATTTGAAATTGGTGTTTTAAAAAATTTTATGCTCTCTCTTAACTCCTTAATAATTTATGCTCTCCTACTCCATGCTAAAGCTGAAAATCACCGCAAGTCATTTCATTCCAGCTCCTGTTGGAACATTTTTCAACGTCACACGTTACCAAGTCATTTAAGTTTCATAATTTTATAATAATAAGAAACCATAACTCCGCAATCACAATCAGAAAAGATATTCAGAACTATTAAATCACTGGAAGAAACATCAACAGCAAGCAACAAAATAACCAACCCACATTTCTGCTCAAGACCAACAGTTAAAAACGAGTTTGATAAATAAAAAACTTCAACATGCTACAAAATTTGCTCACTAGGAAATTCCAATCATCACCAAACTTTTGTCCTCGGAAAAGAAAACATAATTCCAGCAAAGCGAAAATATTATAAGTACTGAATACCAACATAATCAGATGAAGCTTCTGAAAATGCTAAAGTCCGACGGTGCAGGCTGATCAACCATCTACTACCAAGCTTCAAAGATCTTGGACGGTCAAACCTGTAGAAGAATAAAAGCCGATAAGCCCCGTAGCCAGCATCACTCACTCCAAAAGTCACAACTATAAGTTTGCATCCTAACATAAATGACAAAATAATGAGAGTTAAAATATGCCTAAAAAAGAAAAAGAAATCCAAGAGAGAACTTACTCGAATGGGTTCAAAGATTTGGGGGTTCTTGCCATCCAACTAGAAGCTACTCCTTAAGAATAAAGAGAATAAAATCTTTTTTTTCATCATCAGGAAGTGACTTCAACAAATAAAATTTTTCCGGATTGCTATCCATTAGCTTCTCAAATGTCTTGAACACTTGAATGCGACTTAAGTTGGGTATTTTTGAGACCACGTGATGAATCTCCTCACCGGTTGGTGGTTTTCTTACTACTTCCTTCTTTCTCTCATTAAAATACTCAGTCACAGAAGCTGTCATCACTGCAAGTGAATCAACCAATTTATCCCCCTTCTTTTGTTTCTTTGAACTTGTCTCACCACTAGTTGATGTTCCAGGAAGATGTTTCCTTGAAGAGCTTCCATCTTCGTTTGTTTCAGATTGTGCCACAGATTCATCATGTTGCATTGTGTTAGCAGCCTCTTCAAAAGTTTCTGCACCTTCACCGTTGGCTCTATCTTTTGCACATAACACCATAATATCATCCTAATTTTTAATCAAACGATTCTGGTAGCCTTTTGCATCTGGATTAGCCTGCAATATAAGAACATTCACAAATATTTTTTAGATATATGCAACAAACTAATAATTCAAATTAATAAATATAAAGTGCAATATTACCGCAACATAATCGTTCCATACTTTTTGCTCACTAGCGGGTATAATCACCATTTTCTTCTCATCATCCCACCACGTCAAACCACTTTTATTTTTAATGTCATAGATAACATTATAATGGGTTTTCCAAATTTTGAGTCGATTTTTCACGTTATCTTTGTTCAAGTTGCTATTAAATGATTTTAATGCATCAACCGCAACTTGATACACTTGAGGCTTCCAAGTACCATCGACTTTTAATCCTTGGTTCATTTGATCGTACAACACATTGGCTAAAGCTGCGTCCATATCACGATTCCACACAACATATGATCTTGAATGAGATGCAATTTGTTTCCCTTTCTTTGTCATCCTAATACATACCAAAGTGAATGACACAGAATTAGTATTGAAGGTTGATTAGTAATGAAGGATGAAGAATAATGGTAATAACAGAGTTGTGCTTGATCCCTATGACTAAAATGAAAAGAAAGTATCTTGGAGCGAAAAAAAATTTAAATCTTAATCGTGCAAAAGATATATGTATGCAACGTAGGTCTTTAATACAACCATAGTCTGCAATTAACCCATATACCTGGAGGTATACCTGGAGTACCAGAAACTGATACAGTGATCTTCTAGGCCTTGATTCAGGATTGGTAGATGTAATGGATTCTAGTCTTCCTCTCTTTTAACAATATAGACATAACATTACTTTACTTCAGCTTAGAACAACTTAATGATGGTACCAAGTAACATACAAATAGATCAATGACCTGCATACAAATAGATCAATTGAAATGATCACATCCAATTGCCACCTGCATTACAATCACAATTACAACCAAGCGAACAAACTCTTGCATTACAATCACAATTACAACCAAGCGAACAAACTCTAGCCACAATTGAACTTCTAAAATCTTGATTTTGACATATATAATCTAAGTTAACACTCAGATTACTAAGTATATATTCACCTGAATCCATCTCAGTGTCTAAAGGGTTATCTAGAATTGAGTCTGTTTATACTCAGAATTGAGTTGACAACTTTATCATCACATGGTCATGCGAGAACTAGATCCTGTTGTCTAATGCTGAACTTAACAAATGATAGAAACTACACTGCATATATAAAAATCTCACAACCACTCATCATCTTCTTCATACTCGTCACCCTCATTTCCATCTTGTAGCTAAATTATCTTAAAGTCGGTATTCATCCCACATTTGCATAGCTAAATTATCTCTAAAGTTGCTCCATTCATCTGTAACTCTCACAGTGGTGATACGCTCATCATCTACATTCTCAATTTCTAAAACAGGAGAATCTTCTAATTCTCGATCCACATCATTCAACAAGTCGTCTTCATTCATCTGTTCACGTAAAAAGTTGTGAAGAATACAACATGCATTAATGATCCTAATTTGAGCCTTAACACTATAAAAGCTAGCTGTCCGTAATATAGCCCATCGCTTTTTTAGCAATCCGAATGCTCTCTCAATTGTGTTTCTAGCAGAGGAATGACGTTGGTTAAATAACTCCTTGTAGTTTCTTGGACCATTTTCTCTCCAAGACTTTATATGATAGCGAGTCCCTCGATAAGGTGCCAAAAACCCCGGCCCATTTGTATACCCAGCATCCACAAGAAAGTATTTATCTACAAAATCAAAATCTTCAGTCACAACAATGTAAAAACTAGGAAGCAATACATATATAATAATTAAAAGAATTATATTCCTACTTGAGGGAAGTTTAAGCCATTGGGCCGACGCAAAGCATCACGCAAAACACGAGAATCTGATGTTGAACCCTCCCAACCAGGTAGCACATATGAAAATCTCAAATTGGCATCACAAACACCAAGTACATTTGTACTGTTCTCTCCTTTTCTATTTCGATATCTACTTTGATCTTCCAAAGGAATAGTTAATTGGATATGAGTCCCATCAAGTGCCCCGATAGCATCCTAAAATTGCACAACCTTACAATTAGTTCTATTAAACAAAAGTACTAAACATGAAAACCTTAATAAAAGAAGTCATAGTTACCTCAAACCATTTCCACTTCTCTATGTCTCTCTCATTAGGATTTGTATATTCTTGTCTAATATAGAGGCTTCCTATCTTCATGACTGCTTGAAGTACTTTGTGGAACTGCCGACTAATTGTTTCATTTGAACAATAAAAATCTATCTTGCTTGTCCTATTTTTTACATTATGAGCTAAAATATGCAAAAACATAGCGACAATTTCTTCAATCGTGACATTTCTTGATGCTACTAATCCCCCTCTAGTACATAGAACATCACATAACCTCTTAAACGCTTGAGGATTCATCCTTAGTTGTTCAACACAGTTATTTGCATTGCAAATAAGATTTCGAATCCAAGACTTTCTAAGGTATGTCCTTTCATCCTCTTCTTCGTGTGTTCTTGAACTCTCCTTCAACATGTGCTTTGTATAGTACCAAGCACCAATGGCAGCAACTATAAAACTGACCACTACCATAATAATGTCATCATCCTCTCTCCTCTCAAATTCTTTCCTTGTACGTTTAAGTTGGATCCTTGAATCCCTTTCATCATTTACCATTTTTAACCTATCACATTAAAAGTTGAACATACAAGCAGATTACGCATATATCCTGAATATATATTTAGCAAGATGCAAATTTAAAATGCTACTCAAAATAGGTACAAGGGTAATTATTAGGATTATTAAGACCATCATTAGAATGCATGAAATAATAAAAAGAAATAAGTAGCTGTCATCAGAAAGAAACACTAGCAAACACTAGCAAACTCTAAAGTGACACATAAAATTTGCATGTCATTATCCATGGACAATGTCACAAGCTAATGTTGTGATAAAGCTAGAGCAATGGATAAAGGCAATCCAAATGTTGCTAATGAAATAATCACAGACAGATGCAAATGGTCTAAACAAGTATCCAAATGCTGCTAATTAAATAATCACAGACAGAGATCTAAGAGGTAGAAGATCATTGGAAATACTTGTAGAATTTGGAATATGTTAACTGTTCTGTGATATTGTCTGGTTTTCATTTTGCAATTTTGGTTGGCTGTTGGCTTGTTTGGATTTCATGTTCCCTAGGTATTGCATATTTGCATGAGAATACGTAATGTTATGTGCCACTTGCCTTCTAATGATCCAATACACAAACTGCAGGTTCTGCTATGTTGCATGCTGCCTAAACTGATATTTATTTGTTCATCAAAGTCGGATGCAGAGGGAGAGGTTTGACACACAATTCAAAACCTAGCTCAGTTTCGCCGGACTTGAATTCTGATTTCCATTCTCCTGGGTCACCGGTCTCAGGCGTGCTTGTTGATTCAAAGAATCAGCAGCAGCAGCAGCAGCGAAAACAGCCACAGCCACGCGCAAGTATAATGCCTTGCATATCGTGTAAGCATACGTGATGTCTATCTTTACTTACACTGTCTGTCCTAAAGAACAAAAGAAAAGGATTTATATTGCCTAATTGCTTATGAGGGTGTTTACTTCATCTTTAGATTCGTCATGATTCAAAACTCTTACGTGTACTAAGCATATGATGTCTGTATATTTTTATGCAGGTAACACATTAATGAAAGTACAAGAAGCACAGAAAATTACCTTTCAATAAAAATGTAGGGACCTAGTACCAAGCATAAATTACTTATATGATCAGTTTTATTCTACGCAATACATATTCTCCCAAATAGCAGTAACTTATGAAGTAGCAGCAATAACAGTGATTATTCACAAATTTCTTGTTCTAGATTCGAATGTGTGAATCAGCTATCTGTCGTATTGTATTAACAGTGATTATTCACAAATTTCTTGTTCTAGATTCGAATGTGTGAATCAGCTATCTGTCGTATTGTATTTGCAAGTAAGTCAGCATAGATCAGGTCAATTTGCACATAAGTAATATCTCAAACACTACTAATGAAGGGATAGTTAGCCACAAACTTTGTGCTTATTCTAATCTTGACAGTCATCCAGAGTAGTTATAACCACAATAATTAAGGTCGGCTCATAGTGTCAAACCCGTGACATCCTTCTTTGCTCAGCAGTTAGTGCATGCCTCCTAATAGAATGGGACTCAAATACTTTCATAATCTTTCTTCGACCCTTGGCACTGTTGTAACGTCTTTCTTCAATATTTTTCCCCCATCACAGGTACATAGAGAATAATGGATAGATTTATGTCGTGTTCAGTGCACATGAGCAGCACACTGGCAGAAATGACACTACAGTAACAATGGCGAAGTCTATGTATTCGACATCATAGCATAAAGTCTCGGAGAATTCAATCTCCGAGCATAATGTTGCATGCGAACGGATTTAAACAATCCGCATGCTAGCCCGACTCAAACGGTAGTCGGTAAAGGCTCATCAAATGAATAATGGATAGATTTATGTCGTGTTCAGTGCACATGAGCAGCACACTGGCAGAAATGACACTACAGTCTTGGATCATTCTGAAGAGGTTTATGATATTGATTGCCGCTATCACAATATAGGCGCTTTCTTCCCACTACTATAATGAGTATATTTTGGATGAGTATGTAAAAAACTCAAAGATGATGCTAGCATAATGAGTAGTTGGAGTTCAATGCAAATCTTCTAAGACGAAAGCCTGTATTTTACTGTCATAAATGCAGAAGACTGGGTTCAGAATTTTCTTTTTCTTTTTTGCAGTTGTTCTATCTCTGGCAACACTCTTCTAAGAGATGCATATAACAGGAATGAGCAAATTCACACAGTGCTAGTGATTAAGCTAGTGCTTCCAGGGACAACATTAAGACTGGACCCTCATCTCTGAACTAGTGATTAAGCAGAACATGGCTCGGCAAGCGAAGATAATTTAGTAGCAAGACTCGTCTTAACTCGATCTACTCGGCCCCGCTGCATCTAAATCTCGAGCTCAGCAAGAACCCGACTCGCGTGATGACTGTAAGCGAGAATCCAACTCGGCAGCAATGAATGAGGAGGCACCTGCATCCCGGAGCTCGCGAAACATCTGAAGATCATGCTCTAGGCAGTCAAGGTCATCAACTATAACTTTCGCCAGATCCGGGTATCCTGCATCCCTTATTACAAGGGCAAACTAATTCACAGTCATTACCAAAGCTAATTCACACAGTGATTTGCTACAGTCACCGCATAAATCAAGCCTACTCAGACATTCTATCAAACAACACCAGCACAGGTTTGAGATAAATGATACCCACATCGTCAGATCCCCAAAAAAACAACCAAAAAAATTTAAAAATTAAAAAACAGCAAAAATTGAAGTCATACCTTGAATTCCAATTAGAAACTGCAGAAGTTTGAGGAGAGCAACCGAAAGAGAGGAGAAAACAAGCTACAATGACGATCTTCTCAGGGTCATTGTCCGATAATAACTCCTTCACGAGGACATGAAGCTGAGAGGAAATCCCTACATAAAAAGGAGAAATTTGTCAAGAGGCCATAATAAGGAAATAAAGGATATTCGTCAGTTGCTTAATTTATACCTCCTTCCCCTTGAAAAACAAGCTACAACAGAGAAAAGCAAACTCAGATCAGATCTAGGGTTTCAAAATACGAAGAGAGATCCTTGTGTTGAGACGAGAGAGGAGAAGGGGAGAGAGGAGAAGGGGAGAGAGGAGAGAGGGGAGATACCTGCGCTGAGAATTCAAGATCGGGGGAGGAGATCGCCACTGAGAAACGAGAGAGAGGAGTCGGGATCGGGGGAGGAGTCGTCGTCCGGATCTGGATTGAGATCGCCACTGAGAAACGAGAGAGAGGAGTCGGGATCGGGGGAGGAGTCGTCGTCCGGATCTGGATTTGGTAAATCCGAAGGGTGAGGGTGGAATTTCGTCGGGATCGGGGGAGGAGTCGTCGTCCGGATCTGGATTTGGTAAATCCGAAGGGTGAGGGTGGAATTTTAAATCGGGTATTTGGGCTTTCAAAATCACCACTTTAAAATCATTTGATTTAAAATCTCACTCAAATTTGAGGCCCAAACAAGAGATTTGGATTTGAAATACCCAGGATTTTAAATCCAGGGCCCAAATCCAAGTTACCAAACGCAGCCCAAGTTTATTTCGAAAAACTCATTTAGTTCCAATAATTTGAAAATTGTTTTATCTAGGAACAAGTTTCCAAACATTATTTCTTTAAAAATTGTTTAATTCATCATGCAAGTCTAAAACCCAAAACTCATCATTTACAGCATCATCAATACATTTAGATTCAATTTGAGATAGAAAGGCAACATTACTGCATTCGCTAATTGCTTTTTAACGAGTCATAACTCCTCTTAAGGGGCTTCCAATGATTTGTTCCTTAGGATGATCCGGTGCAAACTTTCAAGTTTTGGGAGGTTCTCCTTGGTCATTTTCTACTTTATTATCAAGCTTTCTTTCTTGTGTCCTTGATACAACCGTTGAAGGGGGGTTACTAATTTGCAATGGTTCCGATCCTCCTTCAATGTCACCATCATCCCTGATAAGCACAAAATCTTATAAACCAATATTAGACTCATCAAAGGTAACGTTTATAGACTCTTCAACAATGAGTGTTCGTCTATTAAAAACTTTATAAGCCTTAATCATTGATGCATACCCTAAAAATACTCCAACATCTATTTTAGAATCAAATTTATCATGATGATCTTCAGTATTCAAAATGAAACTTTTACAACCAAAAATCCGAAAATAGCCTATGTTGGATGTTTTACCAAAATAAAGCTCATAAGCGATTTTCTTGAAAGTAAGCCTAATCAAAACACGATTTAAAACGTAACAAGCCGTGTTAACAGCTTCAGCCTAAAAATACTTTGCTAAATCAAAGGCATTTATCGTAGTGTGTGTCATCTCTTGTATGATGTGATTTTTTCGCACAAGAACACCATTTTGTTGCGGTATTCTTAGTGCGAAAAACATATATGCAATACCATGATGACCACAAAAATCATTAAAATACTTATTTTGAAATTCACCTCAATGGTCACTACGAATTTTGATAATTTTCAAATTATTTTTATTTTCAACCCTTTTTACAAAATGTGAAAACTCATCAAAACACTCATTTTTGTTTGCAAGAAATATGACCCATGTAAAACGAGAAAAATCATCAACAAACAAAAAAACGTAATGCTTTCCTCCTAGTGAGGCAACACGCATAGGACCAAAGAGATCAAGATGAAGTAATTGTAAAGGTTTAGTGGTGGATACCTCGTTAACAAATTTAAAAGAACTTTTGATTTGTTTACCTTTGGCGCACTCTTCACATTGGGAGTCTTTAACAAAGTTTAAGCTTGGTAGTCCTCTTACTAAGTTTTTCTTTGATAGCTTGGAAATTAACTTCATGTTTGCATGTCCAAGCCGTTTGTGTCAAATCCAAGGATCACCATCCATCGCGGCAAGGCATTTTACATCTTAATCTACAAGCTCATTCATCTCAAAAATATACACGTTAAATCTTCTAAAGATAACAAAAATAATTTTATCTTTGAGGCTAACAATGCATCTATCTGGTTTAAAAATAATGTCATAACCTTTATCACTTAGTTGATTAATACTAAGAAGATTATGATT